GTTTAAGAAATTTACTGGGGCCATCCTGGTGGCACAGGGTTTGTTAAAGACAGTGCTGTCAAGTTATCTGTAGCCACTGTAGCACGAGTTCAACCCCCGGCCAGGGAGCTGACCCACATGACACAGCAGATCTCTCTTGTCTTGCCCGCTGCTCCCCTCAGCAATGTATTTCAGTCAATCTGCCTGTTCTGCTTCCCACTCTGTCTCTGGTGAATCCTCTCACAACCCCCTCGCTGCTACACTCTGGCCGACACTCCCGTTCTTGTATACATAAATAAATCTTAAAAAAAAATTTTTAAATAAATTAAAAACATTTTTAAAAATCTAAAAAACATTAAAAGAAAAAATGGAGCCATCTCTTCATTCCACTTCAACAAATTTGCTGATACCTGGATGGTGTTTCCAATAGGAGCTCCTGGGGCACCTTCAATATTGGGCTTTGAGAAAGATGGCGGCATGCCTGGCTGACCAAGGGGTTGCTGTATGCTGTGGAAGGGCTGACCACCTGCAAGATGTGGCTGTGGGAATGAAGGTTGGCTTGACAGTGGCACTGGAGCCGAAGGCTGTTGCTGCAGCATCTGTGACTGGGGGTCACCCAAAGGGTTCATGATTGGTGATGTGATGGGAACAGGAGGCATAAAGTTTTCAGGCATCTTTTAAAAAAAAGAAATGAAAAGACACTACAAGTAAGGAAAAAAAACAGTATCAACATTTCACCAGCTTGAAAAAAGAGACTATTCATTCCACAGTTAAAAAGTAATTTTTAAAAATGGAAGAATGTTTTCAAATGAAATTTTACTCTTATTTGTAGAATTAACATTTAAAAGTAAATCTAAGCTGGCTAAGAGGGGTGGGAAGCTCAAATCTGAACTTCCCTGTTTCATTTTTGCCTTCCATGTTTAGTAGAGTCAAAACCCTGCTGTATTTTGAAAGATCACATCTAAGACTGAAGAATTATATCTAGCAATACTGGAATCAGATATTCAAAATGTGTTTTATTATGATCAGGACATTAATAACCTTTTCCTAGGTCACTACCTAGTACTACATAGTACATTTAATCATACTAAATGTACCAGGCAAAGTTTCTGACAATTACTAGCCTAAATTTTGGATTTTCTTGCCCATTTAATGTTCCCTAATCTTATGATTTCTTGTTAATTATTTAGGGGAAGAGGATCATTAGTAGCAAAAGAAAAGTAGAAAACACCTTGGAAAGACACACCTTATTTATTCCAAGGAGGGGAGATACATCTTACGTTCTAATCAGCTATCAATAGTTACTGACTTCTAAACAGTGCTCAGTTACAAGGCTATTTATTTCTTATATACCATAGGCATCATTAGTTAGAAGTAAAATTATCAAATTCATGTTTACTCTAAAAAAGTAACTCCTAAATATATAATTTGAAAAACCTGAAATCCTGCTTTCTATTCCTTAAAAAAGATGTTTTGGGAATATGCATCTTGCCTTCTAAAAGAGACTTAATTCATGCCATTATCAATGCAAGATTTTCTTGTTATTGTTTTCTGCTTTTTTCCCTTTTTTCCATGGATAGAAGAACAAGCATTGGTCAGTAAGCTTTGCTTTTAAAAGGATTTGTCAAGCATGCTATATTCTCAGAAGGCTATATGATTAATAGAACATTTGTAGGCAATTGGACAGACATCTTTTTCTAGTACCTTCTTCTTTTTGGGCCCTCTGTTCAAAGCTGGAGGATCATTCCAACCATTCTGAGGACCTAGAACAGATAATAGAGGGCATTTTCCTTTAGAATCTTGAAAAAGAGGCAATAAATTGTATCTATAGTAATATAATACCTTTAAATTCTGCTTTAAATCCAAAATAACTATCATGAATGTTTTACCAGGTAAGGTATGGGGATCATTATGTAACCCTGGATTCTCAAGTTTACTACTTATAATAGCTATAAATTCTGAGCTTCGTAGTCAATAAACCTTGACTTTATTTCCATTTAAAATGAAAGAGTTAGTTAAGAAGTCGTTATAGTTACATTGGTGTATGACCTTCAAATATCAGGTAATAAATCTCTTCTAATGAGAAAATAAACCACCTGATTTTGTTTAAAATAAAAAAATAAAATGTTTCTGATATGTTCATTATACAAAAAAATAAAAGAAGCAGTATCATCTTTCCCAAGAGCAACATAACATAAAACAAATATTCAGAGTAAAAACATTCTTTGAAAAAAAAAAAGAGCTCAATTATGTCTCAGTAATTTTTACTACCCTTTTTAAAAAATGTCACAAAATAAATTTCAGACTGGGCCCTCCCTGGTGGCGCAGCGGGTTAAAGCACAGCACTGAGAACCTAAAGCCACTTCCGCATGAGTTCGATTCCCGCCTGCCCCGGAGGTGACCACATGGCGTGGCAGACCTCTCCTGACCCACCCGCTGCTCCCCTCAGCAGTGTACTTCGTTGATCTGCCTGTTCTGCTCCCCACTCTGTCTCTGGTGAGGCCTCTCACCGCCCCTGAACCTCTGGCCTGTACCCCAGTTCTGTATGCACAAATAAATAAATCTTTAAAAAAAAAAATTTCAGACTGGCCAAAAAAAACCTCTCAACTTCAGTATATTTCCTTAAAAAAAAAAAACAACAAAACAAAAACTCAAAACAACCAAAAATGCAAACATCAAAATACGCTGTCATTTCAAAGTGCGAATACATCAACAGCAGAACTCATTAAGTACCTTAATGCCTTTGCTTTAAAGAAAAAACAAACCAAAAAAAACCAGGAATAAGAATAATTTCTAAATTGCAATATGGCCATTTACATTTAATTAAGTTTTCTGTATTTTTATATATAAAGACCAAAAAAAAATTCCTCTTTCAATAAACTAAACATTCTTTCAGTATTTTTACCTTTCATTTGTTTTATTAATATCCATGATATTAAATGACAACAAAGTTGTTTAGCAAATCAAAGAACCTGTATTTCAGGTTTCACAGAAACATTTTTAAAATCAGGTTCTTCTAACCAGTATCCTGTTTTACAGTGACTTTTAAAATAAAACTCCCACAAGTTTACTAGGAAATATGATGTCAAAAGAGCCTGAAATCACTTGAATCAATCACAAATTATTATACCACAGTCTATTATCTACCTAAGAAATTCAAAGTTCTAGTCATACACAGATGAGTTATTCAAATCTCTCCCATCATCTTTCAATCTTTCTTGAATCTAAGACAGTCTGATGTAGTGGTTGTATTTATAGTAAATAGCTGATTTTTATGATTTAAAGTCATTTCTGCTTCCATGTTAATTCAATCAGCTCTAAATTTGATTCAATCAAAAAGCCAAACAAAAAGATGATACTGATCAGGTTTAGGCTATCATCAGCTTTGAAGTTCACATGCATTATTGTGAATATCCATTCAATAACTGTATTCAATGATTCAAAGATTTCCCAAGATATATTATTTTTTTAACCCATTCACCTTCCAAAATAGGTGCCTGGTCTTGCATAGACTGATTTTCTGTAGACAAAAATGTAAAAATCACTTAAATAGTGCTATTAGCAAAGACATTTGTTAAATTGTGTCTCATTTTACAATTGTTCTATTCCCTCCATCAACCCCCCCCCAGAAAGAACAAACTAATTTTATAAAGGCATAAAAATAACCTCCTTTTTATTCAAGTCATATCAAATATCTTCTAATTAAGAAAGTAATCAATTTTTGAGTAAAGTGAATTCAAGCATTGTCAGATTAATTAACTTTTTAAGTATCATCTTTTCTATTATTGTTTCATCTCTTTCAAAAGAAAAATTTCATTTCTTCCCATTAAAAATAACAGTATTTCCCTGTTTGACTTAACTGTTTTCTACTCTCTGACAATGAAATTCAGTAACATCATCGAGGAGGAGAGCATTTCCTGACTGAACGATGTGTCCACTTTAGTATTAAAACGTATTAAAGCAATAAAGCCAACAAAGTTGAGGGAACTGTTAAGATGCAGTCACTAATTCACTAAATAGTGTATGACCTGAGATACTATTGTTCTGGCTAGCTCCCAGGTAATGCCAATGCTACCAGTCAAAAACCCTCTTTTAAAAAAGAATGAGAATTTTAACCTGTCCTACAAACTTCAGCACTGTTCTTGTTAAATAAGCACAACAGGCAATCTTAAAGCAGCACCACTTTTTTGCTGGACTTGGGAGGCCCTCCTGGGGGTGACACTATGAATATGATCATAAATGAAAGTGGGGTTCAGTAAAACATCTCATATGCCTTTTCTGTAAAAACATGGGTTGTAGACTGTTTGGCACAAGTTTTCCAAAAATCATTACTTCTCTTAAGAACCAAGTTTCTGTCCCTCAGTCAGGGAAACAAAGACTGAAAAATAACCTAATGCCAAAATTGTCAGATATTCAGTCAGGCTAAGCCCAGCATGCAGAGGAGGTAGATCATATATCAATATAACTTGTGGGAATTCAATTAGACTCTTTTGGGAAGAGAGGATCCAAGACTACTGTTTCAATCAGTGAGTTCAATTCAGCTTGAGATCTGCTCAAGAAGCACATGCCTTAGAGAAACTGTGAGGGAGGAGCAGTAATTCCACAGCTTGAAATTTCACTGTGCAGTTTACAGACAGAGGTCTTTCACGTTACAGCTCCTAAACTAAGCCAACTTTTTAGCTAAGGAAAGGAATGATGAAGGATAAATGGCTGTAAGTCATATCCTATTTTTACTTTAAATGACTTTACAACCTAACACCCTACTCAGGACAAGACCTCATAATGCCACAGTCAATAAATCTTTGGAAGTCAATGTGTGTGCATTATGGCAGTGGCCTGACCTGATCTCCAACTACAGATTAATGCACTAGCGCCAGACTTCAGCTTCTGGGCTAAACCTCAAAGTACTGGAAGTATCTTAGCCTTGAGTCTTATTTCAGGTAGTTGTCTCCACAACCTGCCCCCTTCTGCCCCAGGAGAGGCAGGAGCAGAAGATGAGAGCAGTTTTTCTTCTAATCTCTTTTGGAATTGACTGAAGCCCTGGGTAGTAAAGCCCAAGAGAATATCCTGATTTCATAAACTATTAGCAGCAATTGTGGACAATCTGATACAACCCTTTCGTAAAATGATACCAAAGTTACAAAGAAATCAAGTTAAATTCAAAATTAAGAGTGAAACAATCAAATCAGAACAAAAAGATTCTCACAGCAATATATAGCCGGCTGGCTAGCCCAATAATATGAGTTGCTTACTGAGAAGAAGGTACAATGACCAAAGTACCCCCAAAATATATGCCTAATTAATTCTTCCTAACTGCAAACCATGCAATATATTTAGCCATTTTATGTTAAAGTCTATTATCAATTTAGTGCAGTCTCATTTCAGCTATGATTCTAAGCCCTTTTAATTTTACTTCTTTAAATACTGTTTAAATATGACTTAAAAAAATCCTCACTACTAGTACAGTTGCCCTCTACTTTCTAGAGGTATCTTTTAATAGCAACACTAAGTGAAAAAAAGCAAATGAAGAACATGAATATCTACAAGAAACAATATTATAGAAAGTGTAAAATGTTGTGTGTGATTTCAAGTGTGTGCAAGTAAAAAGTATGAAAGAAAGAGATACTTCCTCACACCATTAGGACAGCTAGTGTACAAAAAAGAAACACCAAAAAACAAATGTTGTTGGTGTGGGTGTGGAGAAATTGGAACATTTATGTGTTGCTGGAAGAAATGTAAAATGGTCAGTTAATGTGGAAAATGGTATAGTGGTTCCTAAAAAAAAAAACAAAACTAAACATTACTATTTGATAGACCAGTAGTATCACTTTTGGACATATACCCCAAAGAATTGAAAACAGGACTCAAACAGATATGTGCATATTCACGTTCATAGAAGATTATTCAAAATAACCCAAATATCCATTCCATCTTCAGTGAATGGATAAATACTATACAATGTGACACACACCACAGAATATTGTTCAGTCTTAAAAAGGAAATTCTGGTATATTCTACAATGAGGATGAATACTGAAGACAATGAAGTAAGTAACAAAAGGATAAATATTATGAGGTACCATGAATAGTCAAATACACTGAAACAGAAAATAGAACAGGGACTCCAGTGGTTGGGAAAAGAATTATTTAATATATATATCATTTCAGTATGCATGACCAAAAAATTCTGGAGATTGTGATGACTGTACAATATAAGTGTACTTAATGTCAACAAATTATATATCCACAAATGGTGAAAACACTAAATTATTATATATATATATTTCACATTAAAAATACATGTGCAAATATATATTATATGATACATACATACAATGCATTTATATGTGTGTGTGTATGAAAGGAGTCAATAAACCTAAATTACTAATGGTTATATTTGGGTGAGTTACACTCTTATTTTATATACTATTTTGAATCTTTCAAAATACTTCCTAGAGTAAGAAACTAGTAAAAATTTTAGGTAAAATTAATTTAGAAACATATGGCATGTGACTGGATACTGTGGACCCACATGAACTTTATTATAGGAATCAGTACCCCACAGTCATTGGAGAAAGAAGGCAGAACTGGTTGGTCTCACATACAAGAGTGGAGCTGTATGGAATTGTATGAATTTATTTTCACTGGGAACCTTCTCAGGAGTATAATAGCAGGATTTGTGTACTGGCTAAGATACTTCTCTCTGTGTATTCACAGAAAAATAGTGAAACTGGTAGAGAATGTTTTGACTAGAAGGTAACTTGAGATGGAGAGAAAAGAGCATCTTTGTTAACCATGTAAGTCACAAGCCACAAGAATCCGTGAGGTCATTTCCCAGTGGCACAAGATAAAAGAATTATCCAAAAAACGTTAAGGAAGACAATCATGTCTTTCCCTTATTTAAAAAGTTAAATAAAACAGGTACTTAACAGTTTGACCAAGGAATGATAATGAAAATTAAAAAAAATTTTTCAGAACACTGTTTCATGAAAAGATGTAACATTATACACCTTCGAGACTATGCTATGTGAAGAAGATTAAGACTATATATTTAAATTAAGTTTTCCATCGTTTAACCAAGTTAATAATGTTCACTCAAAGATAATTCCACTGTAGTTTGAGGTCACTACAGTATCAGGAGACAATTTCTAAGGCCTTCATATTTGAAAGAGATTTCCCTTTGTAGCAAGCACACATTAAACCAGGATCCAGGAAAACAAAAAAAGAGAGAGAGACAGGAAGTTTTTGACTTATCTTAGATAGTGAAATGGAAAACCTCCACCTTTCCTGGTGCTACACCACAAAGTTGTAGTCTCCTAACTCACTTGATACCCAGAAATAGGGGAGTCTTCCTTCCCCTTGATCAGACTTTGCTGCCTGCCATAATCTATTTTATTGTATCACCTTAATCGCCATCAATTACCACTTTAATCATGCCCCTCAGCAGTTCAAACTTCTTCACTGGAACTTTCCTTCTTATTATATGAATATAAACTTGTTGTGGCTTTTTAGGTTTTCCAAAATATGACCCAAATACAAACCTTATGCTCCAATTTATAACAAAGTTTGAGTTCTTCACTAGGATTCACTAAACTTTGTGCCTCCTATCTCTGCCTGGAATAACTGTGATTATATACTAAATAGGTATTCAATAAAATTTACTGAATGTTTTGAAGATTGCAATATTTGTTTCTCTGAGCCCTTGAGTATATTAACTTTATGGTTCACTAAGAGTTAGAGGGCTTGAAAATCCCAGTGTTTATCAAGAATTATCTATTGGATAAGTAAAATTTCTAAGTCCTATGAAGAACATGATACAATATAAGATACATTAGAACAAATATAAATTTTCCGGTCACAATTATTTACGTAACCTAAGCAAACATTTTAAGACATCAAAAAATAAAGTTGTTATTGTTAATAAAAATACAGGGTACTATAACATGCAAGAGGTAACAAAGCAGCTAAACTAAATGCATGCTGAACACAAAAATGTCTGGCTGCTTCTGCCTATTAGTCACTCCATTTCTCAGCCAGGTTAGTTTGTATGTATATAGGAGTCTGTTACTCTGTAGATAAGCAAAGATTTTATTTCTAAGCAATAGCACTTTTACTTGAGTAGGAAAAAAATAAACCCCATGCAAATATTTAATTTAGATGATAAAGTAACAGATGCCTGAAACAGCTCTGCTAAATATTTTATTAATTCTAACACTGCTAGCCATTTCTACCTCTAAAATCTGGGCTTAATGTATCTGGCAAAGAACAATGAAACTCAGCTTTGATGACTGAGAGACGTGGGCTCAGCTTGGAAACTATACTGTGCCATCCTGGAACATTATAACCCTTATGAAATATAAGTGACTTCTCATATCAATTAAAAAAATACTTAATGCCTAATTCTCATGGTTGTGAGAAATAACATATATGGCAAGTGCTGGTATATATCCAAAATATGTTCAATAAAACCTAATTAATTTCTCTACGTGCCTGTACCACTTTTACAGTGTACAGTGGGGGCTTATTTGGACCCACCTTTTACTAGGAACTCTACTATGCAACTACAGAACAGATACTATCTTTACTCATTCGATTTTTAAAAAGGTAATTTTAAAACCTTTACAACTGAATTAATACTACTCCGTAAAATAGCAAACTACTAAAGTAGCTGTATTGCAAACAAATGAAATTTCATTTGTGCAGTCAAGGGTGATAACATATTGCATGTAATTTGGTACTTTGGACTTCAATATTATGTATCAAAGAGGGGAGGAGATGTGTATGTAAGTGTGAATTCATAAGACTATTAGAAAAGAGTATTTCCGCAATAGATTCTATTTTCTGATTCTTTTTTTTTTTTTAAGCAATTAAAGCTTCTACATAGCACATAAAAGGAGAAATGGAGAAACACATACATTGAACTCTCCAGGTGCAAATTCACTATTAGGAGAAAATAAAAGACACATGTCTTTCTTTATTTTGCTTAAAACCATCTAATTTTGACTCAGGTTTTCTATAAACACAGTTAATATCTTAAAAAGGTGCTCACTATATGCCAGCCATTGTCCCTAAATGCTTTCAATCTATTAATGTTTTCAATCTTCTTCATAAGCTTACTGAGTGGGTCCTATTATTATTTTGAGGAAACTGAGGCTTAAAGAAGTAAATTACTCTAGGCCATATAACTAAAAAGTTGTGAGGCTAAGATACAAACCTAGGAAATCTAATTCCAAAGTCTGAATTCTTAACCAATGTTAATGTTCTTCATCCTAAGTCACTGATCACTTTTTAAAATACATGCTTTTGAGGCTTTTTTTACTACCCTGAAATGAAAATTTGGTAATATAACTGACCCATAAAAAAATTGAAATTTTCACTGTGGTAAGTATGATAAAAGTAATTTATAAATCATTGTTTTTAACTAGAAATTTTCAGATACTACATTACTAGATTAAAAAAAATTCCTAGAGACTTCCAAGTTTTAAATAGTTTTAAAATATCCAAGAGGGGGGTATTACCCTAATGGATAACAACTGAACTAGTATACAGTGGTGTTTCTCAGAGTTGTGTTCTCTTAGTTTTTTCCTTTAGGTAAATATATCAAGATCCTTCCTCACCTTCACAAATAAACAGAATTATAAAATCTCATTAAGACTCTATACTGCTTAATTTCCCTGGATGAGTTTAAGGTACAAATAATACTTAAAATTTAAAACATCTTATTATGAAAAGAGAGCAGTTTTGCTCTACTGAAGAAATTAGTGTCAATTAAATCTGATTCCATCCACTACCATGTCAATTAATTTCTAACCACTATCTACACTCAATGACAGATGATTCTTACCCTTCTACAGTCCTTCAATATTCATCATTTAGCAACTGAAGCTCATTATGGGAAAATCACACATTTAGAAATAGTTTTAAAATGTTATGATTATCCAATTAACACCTCTTATTACCCAGCTTATAACAGAAGTAATTTCCCTCTCCACCCACATGCTCATGAAAATATAAAGGAAGGAGCCAAACCAAATCCCTTTTAAGCGCAGACCTGTTCTTTGGGACGCAGGCAGCTCACTGGCAGCAGGCAGTGTACCTGTTGTTCCAGAAGGTAGTGCAAAAGCTGAAGATGATGGAGGAGCTCCTGGTCCGCCATGCTGGAAGGATGCTCCAGAGGATGGGGGAGGAGGGAAAGAAGCAGCAGAGCTGGAGGTAGCTGGAGATGCCTGGTGCTGAGCTGTATACAGCTGAGACTGCCCAGGATAGGGAGAAGCAGAAGATATGTAAGGGGTGTTAGGATAAGTATTTGAGGCAGAAGGTGCAACAGGCTGCTGAGGTTGATACATTGCTGACCCCCCTGTTCCGAAGGAATACTGCTGGGCTTGTTGATAAGCTACACCAAGGAGAAGAAACAGAAATTTCAATTAGTTAAAGTTTATCCAACAACAACAAAAAATCAAAGCATTCTCAATCTTTGGAGTTTATTCTCATCATTTTCCTTATACCAGTAAGTCCCGACCAAGCATTACCACTATGGAATACCCATGATAGCTCAGGTGCCGCCTTAAATACACTAAAAGTCATTATAATCAGTACTGGAAACTTGCCATTTCCAGACTGTTGCTGGCTATGAAACTCTTTGAATCATCAGGCCTAAGAATTGCAAGATTGATCCTTTTATGAGATGTCCTGTTCCTGTGAAATGACTGCAATGATGCCTGCTAGCCACCAGATGGAATCATGGAGGAATCATAGAGCCAAAGCAGTATTTTATTTTGCTTCACAGTAAAAATTACAGGGAGTTTGGTGGTCATAGGGTGAACACCCTTACTATGAACCAAATCTCCCTCCAGTATCCTGTAAAAATTATCAACCACTTAAATTCTTAGTTAAAGCACAGTTCCAGATTAGTACTCTCATCCCTTCAAAACCATCATTATATCATATTTCACATATAGTACACAGTAGGTTGGTAAACAATCAGGATGTCAACTAATGTTTTAATGCAAAGATCTGAAGCTAGGTAAGAGACTTTAATACTATAACATATGAACCTCTATAGTCACTCTATCAGAATTGTATTTATTCTATTTTGAGGAGAGTACTTTTACATTGAGCATTAGAGTGTAAAGTTCATGTTAAGGAAGAACACCCACTCTAGCATAGAACATGCTCAATTAATATTAGTTAACAGTAACAGTCTTATTTTGTAACAGTCTATGATGTATATCATAGAATTTCCCCCTTTAAAATTTACAATTTGTGGTTTTTTTTTAACTTTCCAAGCACAAATGTTTCTAAAATTATAAAAATTAATAGTTGATACATGTCATTATTAGACATTTGTCCAAAGTTATAAACTGAACAACACTAAGAGTGAGCCCTATTAATTTAAAGTCACTGATGATAACCAATAATAGTGAGAGAGGCTGGGCACTGGCATAGGGAGTATATCAGAATGCTGTACTTACCACTCAGTTTTACTGTGAATCTAAAATTACACTAAAAGATAAAATCTATTTTTTTTAAAGTAAAATGGAAAACAACAACAAATATCCCTTGGCACTCTTCTCTTTTTTAATGCTTTCAGTAATTCTCTTGCCTAAAAGGCTGTGTGTGTCAAATTATTCTAAATTTTTTTTTAAAAATACCAAAACCATGGAATATTTGCCACTTAAAAAAATTAATTTACTTATGCATACAAGGACTAGGGTACAGGTCAGAAGTGAGATGTGGGGGTAAGAGGATTCAAAAGAGACAGAGTGGGGAGCAGAACAGGCTGTCTGACTGAAATACACAATGGAGGGAAGCAGTGGGCGAGACAGGAGAGGTCTGCCACAACATGTGGGTTACCTGCCTAGCTGGGGATCGAACTCACGCTGCAGTGGCTATAGACAGCTTCATAGTGCTACTTTAATCCTTTGCATGCCCAGGGAGTACCCAAATATTTGCCTCTCTCTTTTTTTTTAAAGATTTATTTATTTGTGCATACAGAACTCGGGTACAGGCAAGAGGCTCAGGGGCGGTGAGAGGCTTCACCAGAGACAGAGTGGGGAGCAGAACAGGTAGACTGAGGAAGTACACTGCTGAGGGGAGCAGTGGGCGGGTCAGGAGAGGTCTGCCACACCATGTGGTCACCTCCGGGGCAGGCGGGAATTGAACTCATGCAGAAGTGGCTTTAGATTCTCAGTGCTGTGCTTTAACCCACTGCGCCACCAGGGAGGGCCTGCCTCTCTTTTAACAGGTCTTAGTAAGAGCTCAGGAACAGAAGCCAAATATTCTGAATGGACTAAGAAAGGAGCTATTTCAGGATGCCCATTAAGTAGACTACAGATTCCATAGTAAGAAGTGAGTCCTAAACAGAATGGTTCTTTGTTTACTTGCTTAAATTGATTTGATCCTGGTTTTTGGAACTTCAAAGTTAAGTGTTAACTACTTGAGGTAAGACCTGCAGATGTGAAAGAACTTTAAGGTTATATACTACTTACGTTGCGGCTGTGGATAAGGTGGTACCTGGCTGTGCATATGACCTGGAGATGTGGGGAGCTGAGCTGAGACAGCATTTGGGTTAACATTTCCATACATTATAAAACTTTGAGGTGGAGGATTTTCTCCCTAAGAAATGAGAATATGGTAAAAAGGAGATTACCTTTGGAACCAACAAAATTTATCATGTGGATTTATAAGCTCTAAGATGGAATCCTATGTTTACTTTAAAAAGGAAAAAAATGCCATAAGAAATAGCATCCTGCACAATCTTGTTTTATTTAGAACACATTTTCTGAGCAACACATTCTGAATTATTTAGAGATCAGACAGGTGAAAAGTAATAATTGCAAAGAAGGGCTACAGATGCCAGTAGTCTTTTAACAGTGTCAATGATATTTATAATAATTCATAAGGATTCTCCATCTCTACTAAATTCCATTCACTACTCCACACTTTGGAAATAGAAGCATAAATATCACAGGGGACTTTTGTTTTGCTTCAATTTTTGCAATGTTAAAAAAAAAAAGAAAGAAAAACAAAATCTTAATTGAAATCAGAATTAGATCATTGTTGGAACCCTGATGTTTTTCTAGTCAGTTTAGAATAGCAGAAGGAGAGAAGGATGAGGAAATAAATCCACTGTGCTAAAAACTGCTTCCTGTTTCCTAAAAGCATTAAAATGCAAAATGCAGGCAGACAGACAGGGGAAGGGTAACCTGAAAAAAGGGGGAGATAAGATATAATTATATATATATTTGTGTATATATATATTTGGGTGAGCAGTATCCTGCTCAAAGAGGAATAATGAAGGATATACCTGTGTGTCAGAGGGAGAGGCTGCAGGTGGATGGCTGGGAAGGGCAGTAGGAGTTTTGTTACTCCAGGTAGTGACAGTAGGGGCAATTCTAACCTGAATTGAACAAAGAAATACCAATCACAGAAAATAAAAAATGAAAACGTTAAAAAAAAAAAAAAAGCCCAAAAGGCATTAACAGCCATGCAAAGAAAAAATAAGAGTAGCAAGAGAGCACATATTAGATCTTAGCAATTGTTTTCAAGGTAGCTGGGACTTCAAAAGGAAAAACACAAATTCACAACAAAATGGGGTGAAGGCAGGAAAAAAAATCAACATGAAAACCTAAATCAAAGCACAAAGCACAATGCTGTTCAAATGTCAAGAACATAGAAGAAAAGCTAGCTAGGTCCTATAAGCAATGAAGGAAAGAAGACATTCCAGGAAAAAAGGTAAAGGAGTAAAAGAGTGATTTTTGAAGCATTAATAGTATTCATGCTACTATCAGACCTGTAAACACAGAGCTATAATCTCCCATTTCTGGATTTCATTAGAGCCACAAAAATCATGTTAGTCCTGTATGAGGCTTAAAATCATACATTCTGAGAATACTGAAGCTGAGAATCAGGACTGTCCAGTCTAATTCCCACCCTTTACTACTGAGAAAGCCATGACCATGGGAAGGGAAGGGATTTGCTGAGGGCCATACGGCATGGTAATGGAACTATCACTGACTGCAGGTCGCCTAGCTCCTGGGCCAGTGTTTGCTACACTGCTGTTTGCATTGGAGTCCAGTAACTTTCAACTTTATTTTAAAGCCATTGCAAAATCTCTTTTGTCAAGTAAACTTCTGTAAGAACTCCAAGATATATTCAAAGACATTCAGGTCAAAGTGAGAGTGATCTATTAACATGGTTTACCTCCTATCCCTTTAGCACCGCCTGTACACAATGCTTTAAAACCACAAGCCACTGTCCTCATGCAACATATCATAAGCTTTAATCAAGAAAATCACTACTGAATTTATAATTGAATTTGTTTTTCTTTTGAGATTGCTAAATCAAAGTGTAATAAATATCTTTCAATGATATTTATCTTCCCACAAAGATAAACCCAGGGAGATAAAATGTAAATAATTTTTTCCCAAAGTGAAGGATCACTTACTTCAGTACCTGGAGACACTGTGATTGAACTCCCTGTGCTTAACACCCTGCTGATCATTAATTGGCCCCACAATGCTGAGAAATTTAAACTACATGTTTTTAAAAATCTGATCCCTCCCCCTCCACCTATTTTCTCAGCCATTACCTGATTTACCTTATTTATCTCATAGATATTCTAAGTCTAGTGCAATTTCCATAAGAATGAGAAATTTAATCTGTTTTGTTTTACCAATATACCCGCAACAGGTAGAATACAGTCAAGCAATCAGATAAATATTTGTGAAATAACATTTCACAATAAATAAATTTATTTATTAATAAATATTTGTAAAATAAAAGAATACTAGAGAATTAACAATCATATTCAAATGTAATCTATCCTGATTAGGTTGCTAATCAAAAGTGTAATAACAAAGGCGCATGAATTGTTTCCCATGATTTTATACTTACTTTCACTATAAAAAGAAGTAAAAAGACAATTTAAAAAATCCTGTTAAAAAAAATAAACACACACACAAAACACCCTTGTAAATCCTATTAGCAACTTTTTGCCCATTTAAAATGGGCAAAGTACCTGCAAATTTTGTTATCAAGCATTTATTTTTATAAATGATTTATTGTTTTATTTACTAATCATTATACTTGTTAGTCAGATATATTTATTATATCATTTTTATTTATGAACATCTACTTTTCATTTAAGAAAACAGATGTTACATGTTAGCCTAGAAATACAAATTTCTATACAAAATAGTAAAAGACAACAAAAAGTCATATATTATACCACTAAATATATTAAATTATTTTAATTTAATAAAGAAAAAATAAAATTTATTTCATCCTCTTCACACTCCCCATAAACTTTTGTTAATTACTGTTCTTTAATATGCAAGTAGTCCCAAAAAAGTTTATTTCCTGAACACTCTATTATACTGATAGAGAAGACACAATAAACCTATATTAATGATTCTAAAAATATGGGTTAAAAAAAAGCAAAATTATATTCTTACAAAAATATCTTGTCAAACTAACTAAATCACTCACAAAAATTACTACTTTTTCTAAAGTTTCCCAAAGTTACTTTAGAGTTTGTTAGATGAATCACATAGTAAAAGCTTCAAGAACAGATGTATAGATATATCTATGTAAGGGGAGTTTGAGCAATGGAGAAATAAAAAGAAATCTCCCTAAAATGCTTAAATTAATTTATACTGTCTAGCTGTACTATAAGCTCTCTTGTACCCAACAGTTAAAACCACCAATTTGAACAGAAATACATTAATTTAATTTGGGCTTTATCACTCACGTGGGGATAATATTGTTGAGTTGTAGCTCTTGGCATCTGTGTGTGGCCTGTAATTGGTCCTGGCCTGCCCTTAGGCAGCGGCTGCCTCTCGTAAGGAATTTTGGGTGATTCCTGCCCTACTACAGGTTCTCCTTGTGCTCTACAAAGTCTGTCACGAAGCTGCATAATATTTGGCTGTAAGAGGCAATGGAAGAAAATAAAGCAAACTGTTAAAGAGTTCACCCAACTTACACAACTGATTTTTTAAAGTAAGCATGATCATTGTAGCAACCCCCTTTTAATCATATGCTCCATATTGTACAGTAGCCCTGAACTCTAGGATTTGCTATCACTGTTCCTGAGAGTCAAGACTGACACTTGACATGTGGTGTAACTTGTAATTTAGCTAATGCAGGAATCTGAATTATGCCCACTGCCTGGAAGTGTGCAAGATCAATGTCACTCATTATCTTTGCTTTTTGTTGTTTCTCTGTAGCTGAATAATGCTTTCCAATCACAAAAGTAGTTAAAAACACCCGATGTTGTTTCTCTGCAGGGAAAAAGTCTCCAAAAGAGAAACAAAGATGATGGAAGAAAATGGTAAGCTAAAAAAGTTGAAAATGAATTTCAAAAAATCCCAGAGACATTTGAAATAAGTCAAAAAAGTAAGGCAAATTCAAGGTAGTTTACACACATCTACAATTACACAGACCTATGATAAGTGTAAGATGAATATATGTTTTGGGTATTAAAAACACCACCAAAAAGCATTGCATTAAACTTTCAGTAAGAGTTCATTTTAGTACTTTAAATAGTATACATTCCTACAAATTCATTAGAGATTTAAAGATGTCATTTAAACTTTCAGGTATATTGCATTGTCTTTAATGGAAAAGAGTTATATACTATGATAGCACAGTGTCAGGATATATTCCCCAGAAAATATTAAATAAAGGTCTACTGAGAAATATAGGAGGAAGTAACAGCAAAATTATTCTTCTTATAAAAAGAATGTTCTTTCAGAGCTAGAAAAAAAGCATGAAGAATAATATATAAAATATCTAAATGGTTATAAATAGTAGTAAAAATAAAAAGCTTAATTCTAAAAGTAGATCTAAATGTCTCTGATTAAGTCAAGGGTCTTTTATCTAATTGTAATAACAAGATTTATTAAAAACAAGGTATAGTAAGTCAAAAGCCTCATACAACTATTATACCATGCTGTGAAACGTGGTACTTAATACTCTAACAATTTAGAAAGATGTACTGAATCCTACAAGTGTATACAAAATCAACTAGAGAATCATACCTCCATAGTCCTAGAGCACAGACGTAAGTACTTCAACTTTCTGAAATTACTAAATGAAACCTATTGGTAATTCCATAGAATATAAAAAGGATCTATGGAAAAACACGTTGGAGGCCTCCCTGGTGGTAGTTAAATCTCAGCATTATGAAGCTATCTGCAGCCACTGTAGCACCAGTTCTATCCCCAGCCAGGGAGTTAACCCACGTGTTGTGGCAGACCTCTCTTGACCCGCCCACTGCTCCCCTTCGTAGTGTATTTCAGTACATCTGCCAGGTCTGCTCCCCACTCTGTCTTTGGTAATCCTCTCACTCCCTGTACCTCTGGTCTATATCCCAGCTTTTGTGTGCATAAGTAAATAAATCTTTAAAAGAAAAAAAAGAAAAGGAAAAAATATACGATATATATGTAAGGCTCAAAATTAAGCTCTATCACACACAAAATACAGATAGAAATATCTATCTTACTTGTAAAAAAAATTCCTCAAACCGATCCTGACTTCTATCCACACTCCACTTTTGGTTTTAGGTTTCCCACTCTGCTCTGTTGGCACTACTAGTTCTCACAGTACTTAGCACTTTAGGAACCTCAAGTTTACTCATTTATAAACATTTTGAGTTTGGAAATTTCCTCAGGGAAAGGATATACTCATTCACTGAGTTGAATAAAAACAAATATCCAAAAAAGCCTGTGTTTTACTGCATACTAGATAAGGACACTAAATTAGGAACATGTCATTCCCTCCACCTTGCGCACTTTAAAAATAACTTGCCCACAGACGGTATCAGACTGAATGGTGTATAGAATGAACTTGTTTGCTACTATCTGGAATGGCACTCTGGGAATTTTAAAAATCACAATTCCATTTGTTTTATTAAATATTAATGTTTACAGTTTTACAACAAAGACAATCTCTACAAAGAACCTGTACACAGAATCAGCACTTGACAGAAGAAAAAGAAAGTTGGCCCTTTTCCCATTTATCTTCCTCAAATGTTCCCCTCAGAACAAAGAGATCTATCATACTGCAAGAGCATCTTATCTCTGACCCAACAAGAGTCAACAAAAAATAATCCTTATGTAATTGTCAATTACATAATATGTAGTCAAGTGACAGAAAACCACTTGAAAACATTCCACTTCTGTCTAACACTGAGTGTTATCTACTGGACTCACCTCTGTGTCATATAATAAAAGAAAAATAATCAATTCTAATTACCTGGTTGGAGTTTTCAGGAAGAAAAGCCAAAGCTGCAGCAATACTGCCTTGGGCTGCCAACAAATTGGCATACTGACCCATCTTCTCAGCCAGAAGAACTCCTATAGTATTAGTGTCTATTGCTTGGGTGAGTTGTACAGCTTTCCGCAGGATGACAACTTTCTCAATCAGATCCTTAGTAAGAAAAAAAAGGGGGAGGTGAAGGAGCAACAAAGACACCAAGATGTGTGTGAAAACAAGCAGGAGAAGAAAAACAGTTAATAAGATTTCTGAAACCTACTAAAAATACAGAATCTATTATGATTGTCCTTCAAAACACTGAACCAGCTGACTGTCTTGTAGGTAAATGAAAAAGTAAGACGAAAAAAAAAATCTCTTATTTATGGCAGGGCCTAGGTTAGTACCTTCTCCTAAATACCCTCAAATGCCAGATACCTGTCTGGTATGCAAAAAAAATAGGCAAATATTACAAGTGAAAGCAAGCAGATACTCAGAGGCAAAAACTGGTTTCCAGCAGACAGAGAAGTAACTATGCATAAAAACATCACATGTTCTATAACAAAAGTATTACTAGAAAGTTTACCTCCAAACAGTTCTTGTGTTTTTAAATCAGGTTAAAAAAAAGGTAGGATAGAAGGCAGTAAAAATTGACTATGAGAAAGGTGAAAGACAGCGCTAAAAAATAAGCACTTTTTGCCAGAGATACTAACCTGAAGTGACAATGGGCTGCTTCCATCTTGAGCTTTATTCCAACATGCAACGAGTTTCTCCACATTCCCTGCACAGATATAGCAGAGACATGCCTGGGTCTGTAGGAGGCTATCACCTTCACTTTCAAGTCTGCTTCCCAAGAGATCTAAATATAAAAAGGAAAAAATAAGATTACACTCAAAGCTCGTGAGAAGTCCAATAGTATTTTTGGAAGTAGAGATCAAACTTTACAAATAATGAGTAGCAGGTAGAAACAAAATCACTCTGCCACATACATGTTCAGTAACTGTTCGTAGTATATAATAAACAAGATGGTGAAAATCAAATTACCTAGCTGTATAATGGATTTCTATCATTTATATCAGGAAAAGTAATATATGGAAAAAACGTTTGAACAGAAAAAGCTAATAAACATTTGACCCCATTTCATCACATCACATGCTTTTGTAGTAGTAGACTAAACTACGGAACATATGGAATAAGCACCAGTGGTAGCTAAGTCTAATTTTTGTTTTTTATTACTACTTTTTTTTTTTTTTAAAGATTTATTTATTTGTGCATACAGAACTGGGGTACAGGCCAGAGACTCAGGGGTGGCGAAAGACTTCACCAGATACAGAGTGGGAAGCAGAACAGGCAGATCAACGAAGTACACTGCTGAGGGGAGCAGCGGGCGGGTCAGGAGAGGTCTGCCACACCATGTGGTCACCTCCGGGGCAGGTGGGAATCGAACTCATGCGGAAGTGGTTTCAGCTTCTTAGTACAGTGCTTTAACCCACTGCGCCACCAGGGAGGGCCTCTATTACTACTTTTAAGTTATCCTTTTAAGGATATCTTAAATAGTTTAGCCTCTATTGTTCAAATAGTGATACACCCTAAGCACAACTTTAGTTAGTCTTTAATAGTAATTTCTACTCAGATGCTATAATTACTAACTTCATTAAGTCAGCATTACTAAGTGACCACTGATTATATGCCATTTTATAGATGAATGGACTTAGGCTTAGAAAGTAGTTTTCCTTAGAGCATACAGCTAGTAACTGGTAGAGGTAGATTCCATATCTGGATCTGTCTGAAACCAAAAATCGCTGAGTAGTATCATTAAAAATAATTACTGAGTATAGCCAAGTAATGTAGTTAATAATTCTGAGAAAAGCATTTGAGAATTTCTTACCTGGGATTTCTAAGTTTATAGCAATCTCTACTAAAAACTGGCATTAATCTTATCTATAATATATCATGCCATATAAATATGTAATAGAAATATGAAGCTCATTTTCTTACCACAAAGGGCTGAAAACTCATCTGGTTTAGCATAAGTCAATACTGCAGCTAAAGCCTCCCTCCAATTTTTAAGGTCACATGATTCAACAATCTCTTTCCAGTTCTTCATCACTACTGCAGTGATTAGCTTGGGAGAAAGAAAACAAAAGGAGAATTAAAATCCTTTAATTTATCAATGAAAATTAACTCTCACTACTCAATCATATCTTACATGCCAAATAGAGCAGCAGCAGAGTTATCCTTAAATCAACTGACATAAAAGATAATTATTAGGCTCTCCCTGGTGGTGCAACAGGTTAAAGCATCGCATTATGAAGCTCTCCAAAGCTACTACAGCACAAGTTCAATCCCCTGCCAGGGAGCTGACCCATATGGCATGGCAGACCTCTCCTGACAAGCCCACTGCTCCCCTCAGCGGTGTGTTTCAATATATTTGCCTGTTCTGCTCCCCATTCTGCCTCTGGTGAATCCTCTTATGCACCACACCTCTGGCCTGTACCCCAGTTCTGTAAATTATAAATAATAAATAAATCTTTAAAAAAAAAATTTTAAAAAATGTAATATTGTATTTGTCCTCAGCACATACATACACACATTTCATAAAATGTTGAGAAAGAAATGTATAGGGTACTATCAAAACATTTTAACAAGAAGCTATAACTAGATTTGATGAATTAATAAAAATTTTCTTAATAACAGACATCTGACAAATAAAGTCAAAATTAACTTCATCAAGAAAAAAAAAATATCCAGGCCAAGGGAATACTAGGTGCAAATTCAGAAGGAAAAAGGAACATGGATATGTGAAGAACTGCCTGCAGCTTACTTGTTTGGCTAAAAGATTAATAGGAGATACAACACAAGGCTGGAAGAAAGATAGCAACCAATATGTTGGTACAGAAAAATGGGACAGCTTTTATGGAAAGGAATTAAACATCAAGTAGGGACTTAAAAATGTTCAGAGCCTCTGCACCAGAAATTCTTTTCCAAGAATACAGTCTTGCCAAGCAGTTAGAAATTCACATAGATCTTTAGACACAAGGATGCTTCTAACTCTTATGTATATCAGGAAAATATGAGAAGCTGCCTAAATATTAAAATATGGGAAATAACATCCTTAATATAGAGCAATCAGAAAATCTTTATTATATCTTTATAAAAAAGATATAATTATATAAGAATCCCTAATGATATACGAAAATTATAACAATGACAATATCGATAAGCAAAATCACATACATATATATCTATAATCCTCATTCTATTCTAAAAATTCTATAAACATATAGAAAGAGATATGAAAGGCTATGTACCAATCTGATGGAAGAATTAGGAAGTGTTTTAAAATGTTTATCTTTAAATTTTCTATGTTCTAAGTTTTCTGCAATAAAAATATGAAAAACATTTTTCATTTAAAAATAACCTATGTAGGGACCTCCTTGGTGGCACAAGGGGTTGGAGCACAGCAATATGGGCTATGGCAGCCACTGCAGCATGAGTTCAATCCTTAGCAGGGGGGTGACCTACATGGTGAGGCAGACCTCTCCTGACCTGCCTGCTACTTCCCTCAGCAGTGTGTTTCGGTACATCTGCCTGTTCTGCTCCCCGCTCTGTCTTGGGTGAATCCTCTCACCCCCCACATCTCTGAGCTGTACCCCAGTTCTTGTATGCATAAACAAATCTTAAAATACATAAATAAATAAATAGATGCATGAATAAATAAATAAAGGACCAGGAAAAGTCTAACTAAAAAATTAACCCTTGAAAGCTCACTGAAGAACTAAGGCAACCAGAGGGGGAAAAAAGGGAAAAACAAAGTGCACAATAGAAAATGGTGTTAGATTATGGGTGTTTTGGAAGAAGGTACATTATGGTAATAACACCTGAAGAGGGGGACCTCATACATCTAAAATATAAACAAAGATGTAAGCCAATGTTACCTCAATAAAAAAAAAATAAGAATCAGAAAAGTATACATGGCATGGAATAATCATGCCAAACTGCCAACAATATCTATTTCTGGGTCAAGGAATTATGGCTGAATTTTTGCTTTTTATTGTTTCATGCATTTTAATTATCTAAAATAAGAATATATTGCTTTTATAACCAGATGTTATTATTTATTGATTTTTAAAATAACATACCCTAGTAATTTTGCTTTTGGATTTTGCAAAATATTTTTTCTGAGTTCGAGCCAAGAGTTCTTGTCCACCAGCTATTGCCAATATAATGGCGTCAGCCATGCGGTTATCATGTAAACAGAGATCAACTGCACTCTCGAAATTACCAGTCAGCAAAGCCTGAGTAATTAAACCATCAATATCTGCAATAAGAAAACAATACACAGCAAGTTAAATGAAGTCAGTGCTGCAAGGAAAAACCTACATATCATTTTTTACATTGTATATACTAGAGAACACAATATTAATTTCTGAATAATAATGGTGGATTTACTTCTAACATAAGTTGCTTAGATCTATGAAAAATTTCTGAGGTGTATATAATGGACATTCCAGACTGTTTAAACTGGATTAATAAAGATCATCATACGGTTTCAATCACAAAGTTCTGAGAACATATCACCATTTCTAAGGCAATGATTAGATGTCTAAATGACAGTCTTTCTTTTCAACCCTCAACCTTCCATGACAAACATTGTAATGGAAATTAGGGACTATTTGCTTTCAAATGGTTAAAATAAATTAGAAACCAACATGAGCAGCTCTTCTTCATTAAGATTGCCCTGCTCTGTCTAGTAAGCATCTTCTTTTGTTCTCTTTCTCTAATAAACGTGGGGGGGAAAAAAACCTAATATGTCCTTACCCCCACTGATGGAAATGTTAAACGTTCCTCTAAGTGACGGCAGAAAGTCAGGTTCTTGTTTTTCATCTTTAACATGCTAAAGAAGCAAAAAAGGCAGCAATTTAACCAGAATGAAGCCATAAAATATTTAATAGTAAAACAAAATTTATGTATAACTATTCACCTATTCCCTAAATGGTATGCCAAGTTACTCCAGAAAAGTCCTCTCTCATATCCATGTCTATACATAAGATTTTATGATTTTCCTTAGTATAATTACAAATTAAAATCCAAGGTCATCAGGAATCATGTTAACTTAAGTGGCTGGTAGCTACTTAGTATCTCAGAAGTTACTGAAGCTAAAGTATCTTTTTTCTCAAATAATTCAACTTGAAATATGCAAAATAAACATGTTTTAAATTATACTAGTTTTTTTCTAGTTGGCTATTGAAATATAATTGAAGAATAACATTTTAGTTTTAGGTGTATAACAATTTGATATTTGTATGTACTGCACAATAAATTAACATCCACACGTAAATATCAAAATTTTCTTATAATGAGCACTATTAAGAGTTATTTAATTCAACTTTCAAATGTATAGTATAGTGTTACTAAATACAGTCACCAAGCTGTACATTACATTCTCATTATTTATAACATACTTGCATTTTAAAATAACCTAGCTTTCTACACATCTAAAAATTTCTCTCCAAATCTGTCTTAAAACGAGGTTCAGTTTTTTAGGTCTTTTTGCTTTCCATGTCATCAGACATGGAAGAAAAATTGCCTAGTATCCTTACATAAATGCAACATTGCATTGCACTGCTTATGAATATATTCCCAATTCAATTATATAAGATGTATTCCCTTAAATTAATCATACTTGGGACAACAGATTGGTTGGGTAAATATTCAGATTCTGAATTTTTTTTTTAAACACTCAGATTCTGTGTTTAGAGCAATTCTGCTACAAATTTCTGAGACTGTAAGATTGAGTAAAAGTAAATAAAAAAATTTTTATATTTAGAAGAAAATAAATATAATGAAGGCATATACTGATGAATACTTCAAATATTTCTATTTCTATTCAAAATTTAAAAGAAAACAAAAAACATATCAAAGAAATTATAGAGAAGTTTTTAAAGAAAAACATAATTGTCTTATATGAGATAAAATACCTGTCTTGTTTTCTGTTAGTGTGCAATCTACAGAAGTGAATACAGCTGTCTAATATTCAAAGTCAGGTGGGTAACTTTTTTGGTTGGGTAATTTAAAAAAATTTTTCTTTTGCTGTTAATTTGGTTGGGTAGTGTTTTTTCAAAAAAGTACTTATTTATTTATGCATACAAGAGCTGAGGAGTAGGCCAGAGAGGTGTGGGGGGGGGGGGAGTGAGAGGATTCACCAGAGACAGACTGGTGAGCAGAACAGGTGGATCTACTGAAATACACTGCTGAGGGGAGTGGCAGGAGAGACAGGAGCGGTCTGTCACGCCAAGTGGGTCACCTCCCTGGCCAGGGATTAAACTCATGCTGCAGTGGCTGTGGGTTGCTTCACAGTGCTTTGTCTTAAACCCTTGTGCCACCAGGGAGGCCCTGGTTGGGAATGTTAATACAAAACACAGTATAACATCATCTGTAAATAATTCTTAGTTAGTTAATATTGAGAACTACAGGAGAATTAACTATAACCTTAATTGTTTTCCCAACTAAAGAGAATTTAATAATTCAAAAACAAATTTCAACTGTTACTCATATTAATGCATAGATACTGATTTAATTATATTCACTAACAAAAAAACTTGCTGAAAACCCTTTTCTTGTAACTCAATATTTCAAATTTGCTTTCTAAAAACAATTAATAAATCTATTTATGTATACTTCAGATATATACATGTGTTGAGTATCTTCAATGTGTAAATTACTGTTTGACAAATATTATCAATAAAGGGGAACATTTTACCTCCTTAAGGTTTTCCAAATATTCAAAAGTACACATTGATGACTACTGTTTTGTTAAATATATATTATTCTTACTATTAATTCATGAGTATATTTCCAAATGTTGCTTTGATTATATAGTTCATCTACTTAATGAGAACACATTTCTATAATGTACCCTACAATCCTGTCTAAATATTCCCCAAATTTTTTAAACTTTTAGCAAAATTTTATCCATAACATTTATGCTCAGTATAAATAAATGCTAGAAGATTTATTTCTCAAGAAAATGTTTATTATAATCATCTTGTAATAGCCTTAAATTTACTCATGAATTATTTTTATAACTTGGTAAGAGATTGTATGAAACATTTCAGTCAGGATATACCCATAGCATAAAGAACAGTGAAAAAGTCAAAGGTGAAATGAGAAACAAGAGTTTGTTGATTAATTTTCTTTGATTAAATGTAATTAAAAAGCAAGAAAAATCAAATATAGAACTATTAGTGATTTTAAAAGACCCACAAAATTAAAAGGAAAAAGTTAATGATATAACTCTGTTCAAAGACTCTTTTCACTTAGTTATAAAAATGTTCAACTACAACTCAGGACCTCTTTACAGAAAACCATGGCAATCAGTTTATTTGGTGAAAAATTCTCTCCTTGGACTCAAAGTTAAAGAATAATTCAGAAGCCTATGCTACAGAGAGTGGGTTCTAAATATTAAATATTACCATGCCCTCCCTCACCGCAAATTAGCTTTACAAAAGATTTCAGAGATGATATTCTGTCATTTATGTAAATTGATTACTACTCTAAACATTTCTAAGAAAATACTATGTTCCAACTTTATTTCTGACAAGAAATCAAGAAATTTCTCCGTATTTCAATGTGCATTAAACAAATAACCGTATATTTTTCTAATATAATTGAAAATGAAAAAATAGGTACCTCTCCCAAGAGCTGCTCTTCAGCAGCAGGCCTCTCTTCCCCATCACTCTGTGCTACTTGGTCAGAGTCTTTAAGAGCCTTTGGTACATAAAACAATTACAGAGAAGGTTGAAGAATATGATATAGCGTTTAAAAGTTATTAGTGAACAAAGTAGACAAAGACCCAACCAACAACATTTAGAGCTAGTTTTATCATAAGAAGCAACACTAAAGTGCATTTAGAAACACCACTAGAAGGAAAACAAGAAGGCATTACTGCTGAGATTGTCCCTTTCCTACCAAATGTCCTTCAGCAACACTGATCTTTACCTTTAGGTACCTGGGCAGTCACTGATTTCATTTTTTTTTTCTTTAGCAAAATTCAAATACTGTTAAGACAAATGAATGCTACACCAACAAAACTTATGCTATTTTAAAAAGAGAATTAGCCACTTACAATATTTAGAACAGTCACTTTGTTCAATTCTGTGAAGTAATAATAATAAAGCAAATTTCTGAATTACATTTCTTTCTTTGTTATGGCCTAAAATTTAGAAAGCAGCTGTTTTTAAGGTTTTCTTACCACATCAGGTCCATCCACTTTGTTCAAAGTCAAAGCAATCTGAAATAAAAATAATAACCCACTGGGCTAAGTAGAATTCTATTTGAAGGCATACAATGTTTATTTCTCAATCCATTTTCCTTGTAAAAATCCACAAAAAATCAGAATAGGAATAGTGTATTTAATAAAGTCTATTTAAGAGAAGCATATTTAAGAAAAGAATAACACCAGGGGAGAACTGGTTTCTCAATACTTCTCATTTCCACTAAATGGAGTTCTATTGATCATGTGCTCTCACTCTTGGTCAGTCACAAAACTAATGCACCATGATTTCAAGAAAATAACTGTAATAGATTTTTTAAATATTTCTTCAATTACTCACTATGGGAACAATTGCTATTACAAGTATTTTGACATTAAATTTCCCCATTTTTTGCCATAAGATATGCAGCAAATTTCATAATTAATCTTTTTGCAAACCTAAAAAATTAAAACACTGATAAGTTAGATTAACAGTAGAAGTTAAATATAAAGTAAAACTATAAAGGAATGACATATAAGCAGGAAGCAACAGGCTGTGATAGGATCCCAGGTCCATCTGACCTCAAAGAGCACTAATCCTCAATTTCTAACCAGCACCATGTATGCAAAACACCTTTTAGTGCTAAAGAAAAGTTTAGTCCCTTTTAGTGAAATACAAAGGGCTGATTACAACCTCAAAATATCTAATATTTCTTTTAAGAATTCCAAAGTCAGAGTATTTTTAATGATGTTCATGTCAACATTTCTTTAAAAGAAAGCTATAAAAACTATAGAAAACTAGATTTAAATTTATGATTTCCTCTTTTTAAAAGGGAATCTAAATTAAAATATTAAACAAATCACCTGGGCTTACTGTTTATCCAGGTTCAGTAAATTAAATTACCCCTTGTTTCAAAATATTAATTAATTTTCCAGTTGAACCAACTCAAGCAGTATTTGTGAGTTAATGGTATCAACAGGTGGCATGAAAAACTGAACTAGTACCCTATTTTTCATCACTTAAATTGCAGTGAACTCAGAATGATCTCCAGCAGCTTCTCTTTTCTCCCCCTAAAGAGGCCCTGGTTATATACACCTTCTTAGAATTTAACAGTTATTTTGAGTATTTGAGGCTTACAATCTTTTATCTTATAGGACTCAAATGTCCCTGACCCAGTTCTTCAAATTAAGTATGAAATAAAGGCAATTCTGGTAGTTTCTAAATCTTCATATAAGATAAAGCTTCACATTTTTAAAGATACATATTCACATGTAGAAATACATGACTAATAAAAAAAATCTTAAAAGCAGTAAACAAAAAAATAAGAGTATTTACCAAATTGAAAAAAAAAAAAACAAACAAAAACACAACGATAAGCCATGGCAAACACAAATTCCTATTACAAGCTTACTGAAAATTATTTAAGATAATCTACACAAAATTTTATTTTAAAGACCTACATGTCAGATAAGTTATTAACCTGTATAGAACCGCTTAACTTTCCGCTTAAGAAGTTAAGTTTACCTTCTTTCCTAGGTCTTCTTTTCTGTACCCTAGAAGTTCAAGGTATTTTCCACGAGAATCATCCTCAAAGTTCACCTTTAGAAAAAGATTTACATTAAAACAAAGATTTGCATAAAAGGCCCACATTTTAATTAATTGATCAAATTCCAAACACAATTATTAAAAGTATCTGAAGTCTAATGTATCAACCAAAAGGTTCACTATGAAAAAGATTCCAAAGAATAGTTTTTTAAAATAAATTATTATTATTTTTTAAAGATTTATCTATTTATTCATACAGAACTGGGGTACAGGCCAGAGGCTCAGGGACGATGAGAGGCTTCAACAGAGACAGAATGGGGAACAGAATAGGCAGATCAACGAAGTACACTGCTGAAGGGAACAGCGGGCGGGTCAGGAGAGGTCTGCCACGCCATGTGGTCACCTGCGGGGCAGGCGGGAATTGAACTCATGCGGAAGTGGCCTCAGCTTCTCAGTGCTGTGTCCTAACCCGCTGCGCCACCAGGGAGGGCAAAAATAAATTATTTTTAATAATAATTACACTAGTAATTGATCATCCTGTTGACCAAAGCTTACTTTCAAACTAATTTTGGTAAATACAAACTTATTTATGCCCAAAAGTCATTTAAATACAAAATGAACACTAAGTAGAACATTCAATGCCTTAAGCTCTTTTGCAAAATTAATAATTATATAAAAATAAATTTTATAATTTTAAAACTTCTTATTTGTATTCATGATCTGTTTTCTCTGGAAAATTCAGTATCAAGAAACAGACATTCCAGTGGAGGCAAAAAGATCAAACAAAATTCTATTTGCTGGTCAGTTCAGTATATACACTAAGTTTATGTGCAACTCAGTAACTAAGAGAGCAAAAATGTTCATATCTTCTTTTCCCTATCCCTTGTTCTTCTTTTCCCATTTTCCTTAACTAAACCTACTTTGGTAGATCTTATCACTTCAATGTAAGAAGCTCTATATTCTAATTTTAAACTAGGTGTGTTGAATGTTGTCTCTCTCAAATACATTTATGATATCGTTTCGGACTTACTTTTTTTAAAAGTGCTTCATATTAGGCTTTTTATTGTCCAGAAAGAAAAACTCTTGACATAAAAATTAGAAATATGCTCCTTATAAGGTTTCTTTAACTTCATCATGAGGTTCCCCAAAGTCACATCCTTCCAACTTTTTAAAATATTTTATTTTTTAATAGAAAGACAGATTTAGAATACAATGGAAACAGATCAACCTGCAAACAGTGATATAAAATTGTCTTAATGCCAATTTACCTTCAAAAAGGACCACACATTTTTTTCAAACTCAGACTGGGAAGCATCAATTTTTTTCTGACAATAGCTGACAAATCCTTGTGACTGTACGACCTGCTGCAGTTGGTCAGATCGGCTGAGGAATTCCTTTTCTGTCACAACCTGACTGATAAACACGTGACGTTGCTGTTGCTGCTGCTGCTGCTCAGCTCCTTGCTGGGATGGCAATTTGACATTCTCAAAGGTAACCAGTTTGCCTCCAAACTATAAAAGAAGAAATGAGCAAAATCAGTCTGAATCACAAGGATGTAGCCAAAAACTGCTAGTGATAAACCTGCTAATGAAAAGGCTATGGCCTATACAGATGCCAATTTATTTATTTATTAAAGATTTATTTTTTATGCATACAAGAACTGGAATGTAGGCCAGTGGTGTGGAGGGTAAGAGGATTTACAAAAGATAGAACAGGGAACAGAACAGGCAGATGTACTGAAATACACTGCTGAAGAGAGCAGCTGGCGAAACAGGAGAGATCTGCTGTACCATGTGGGTCAGCTCCCTGGCTGGGGATTGAACTCATGCTGCCGTAGCTGCAGACTACTTTACAGGGCTGACTTAACCCCTTGTGCCACCAGGGCTGACTTAACCCCTTGTGCCGCCCTGAAGATTTTATTTATTTTATGCATACAAGAACTGGGGTGTAAGCTAGAGCTATAGGGGAGGGAGGTTGAGAGGATTCACCAGAGAATAGTAAGCAGCAACACCAGATCCGCTGAAATACACTGCTGAAGGGAAAAGTGGGTGGGACAGGAGAGGTTTGCTGCACTGGGAATCAGCCATTCCTGGCTGGGAATCAACTGCTGCTGCAGTGGCTATGGACAGCTTCATAGTTCTGTGTTTTAATCCACTGCACCAGCAGGGAGGGGGCCTATATATTTTAGTTACTTTCTACCATTGCCATTCTTTGTCCTATATTGTATGCAAACAACTCAGGTTTTGCCACTTGTTTGGTTGTTCATTTCCCTTTGGGGGTTCACACATACACATAAAAAAACTGTATGTTCTAGTAAAAGTTCTAGAAAGTTGTGCAATCAAGAAATGTACCCAAACTGTTTTAGCCTAGGATTTCTCAAACTTCATTAATTATGGAATCTTTTTCTCCTAGATTATTTCCAAACACTTTGCTGAACTAGCTTCTTAAATAAATTAATTCAAAGAATGATATTTAAAAAAAAAACAATAATACCTGTATGTTTTACTCCTATTAACCAATTTCTTTTACATCAATTTTACTCTAGGGCTCAGTCAAAAATCCTAAGCGTGTACAGTCAAAGTTCTGCTTTCTTACTTTATTCTTTGTCTGCTTTGTTCTTGTGTTTTTCACAGTATCCAATATCTAACTTGACATAACAAGCAAACAGCTAATAGTCACTATATTTATAAAAAATAAATACAGGTGAAGTAGGAAACATAGGACCAAATGTGGTTCCATGTACTCAGTAATTTTTTTGTCACACAAACTTATTAAATGTCCAAAATGTTACATGCTTGTTATATCAGGCATGGTAGAAAATACAACTATCCTTAGGGGTTAAATCTCAGGGCCCTCCCTGGTAGCACAGTGAGTTAAAGCACAGCACTAAAAAGCTAAAGCCACTTCAGCAGGAGTTTAATTTCTAGTTAGGGAGGTGTCCCACATGGTATGGCAGAACTCTCCTGTCTCGCCTGTTGCTCCCCTTAGCAGTGTACTTCATCAGTCAGCCTGTTCTGCTCCCCACTCTGTCTCTAGTGAGTCCTCTCACTGCCCCCACACCTCTGGCCTATACCCCAGTACATTAATAAATAAATCTAAAAAAAAAAAAAACAACTCAGGTATCATTTCTACAGCTTGAATTCTATCTCAGGCCAGCAAGCTATCCCACCATATGGCACAGCAGACCTCCCCTGTCCCTACTGCTGCTTCCCTTAGCAGTGTATTTTTGTACATCCACCTGTTCTGTTCTCCACTGCATGGTGAATCCCTTCATCCCCTCCCCCATACCTCTGTCCTACACCCCAGTTCTTCATTTAAAAAAAAACATTTCAATTAGTATTACATAGTACATCAAAACACAGATATTTAGTAGGTAAATTATTTACAAGATAGCACAAAATAACTAAAAATACTAAAACTTTAATAATGGCAACCTAAAGACATTTTTTGAGGGGGTCACTAACATCCCACACCTTATACAAAAAAAAAAGGAAAGTAGAAGCAAGTGTCTTCACATTTATTAAGAGGATGGGGGACACAGGATGGTGTGAAGGTTGCACAACTACGTGAATGTACTTAATGTGAACAAACTGTGTATTTTAAAAGGAGTAAGTTTTGGGCCCTCCCTGGTGGCGCAGCAGGTTAAAGCATAGCACTGAGAATCTAAAGCCACTTCCGCATGAGTTCAATTCCCGCCTGCCCCGGAGGTGACCACATGGTGTGGAAGACCTCTCCTGACCCGCCCACTGCTCCCCTCAGCAGTGTACTTCGTCTATCTGCCTGTTCTGTTCCCCACTCTGTCTCTGGTGAAGCCTCTCACCGCCCCTGAGCCTCTGGCCTGTACCCCAGTTCTGTATGCACAAATAAATAAATCTTTAAAAAAAAAAAAAAAAAAGGAGTAAGTTTTATGTTATATATGTTTTACCACAATTTTTTTTTTTTTAAAAAAGGGAGTAGTTCCCACCTTTTCTGCAAAATCCCTGAATGACTAAAAACCAGAAACCCATCCTATGTGAGTGATCCTATCATAACCCTTTACTAAAGATCCTTCCTGAAATTGCTTATAGGCCATAAAAACAAATCCACCTACTGAAAAGGAAGCACCAACAGGCCTTCGGATCCACTTGGGAGGCTTCTTCAGAGGTAACACTACACTATGTTGAGTAGTTGGCTGTGGAATTTGTAATGGAGGAAGGGGCTGTCCTGTGCCAAAGGGGTCCAGATTCCCAAAAGATGATGAAAGCTGAAAAAAAGGAACTTGTAACTTACAAAGACTGTATTATAAGTCTTCAAGTCATAGCCAAAACATATTTAAATCACAATTATACATTAATTAGAGTGGTTGATCAGTAAGTTATTTTCAAAATCATTATATGATTTTGATTTGTGATTTTTTTTCAGATGTTATAACCAAAAACCTTAACTTTACCAAAGTTTACCTTGTCAACTTGTTTCTGCCTTAAGCCATCTGCACTCCCACCCATGACAGAATAAACACTGATACGCCCATCAAAGGAAGCCGCTGATAGGACAGCAGGATTTCTGGGACACCACTGAATATCAAAGCACCACTGTGTGTTGGTGGGAAGTTCATATAAAACCTAGGTAAGACAAACAAAAGACAGTCAGAAAGTGGTACAGTCATTTTATAGCCAAACACCTGAATGAATATAATCAACAAGCACAGCTTGTTAAAACATATTATTTTTAGAAAGTGTCTTTCAAGAGGAAAAGTAATTATAAAAATTTCTTTAGCATATAAGAAAAGTCCATTATACTGGTTTATTATGATAAAAAGAAATGCCACGACTCAAAATTTCAGATTTGGAATAAGTGCATTTTAAAAATGGAGGTGTTTTCCATTTTTCTTGAAAAAACAAGAATATTCTAGTAGTCTCAACTTGTTAGAATAATAAATCACTGGCGCTCCAGGGTGGCACAACACATTAAAGCACAGCACTGTGAAGCTATCTGCAGCATGAATCTGAATTTGATCCCCGACAAGGGAGGTGACTCACATGGTGGGGCAGACCTCTCCTGACCTGACTGCTTCTCTCCTATGGAGAATTTGCCTGTTCTGCTCTCTCCACTCTGTCTCTGGTGAATCCTCTAACCTCTTGCAACACTGACCTGTACCCCAGTTCTTGTATGCATAAATAAATAAATCTTAAAAGAAAATCAGGGACTCTCTGGTATTGCAGGGATTAGTCTCAGCGCTATCAAGTTATTGCCAGTCACTGTGGCCTGAGTTTGATCCTCAGCCAGGGAGGTGACCGACATGGTGCGGCAGACTTGTCCTGTCTTGCCCGCTGCTCCTCTCAGCAGTGTATTTCAGTACATCTGCCTCTTTTGCTCCCCACTCTGCTCTTGGTGAGCCCTTTATCCCCCACACCTCTGGTCTACACTGCAGATCTTATATGCATAAATAAATAAAAATAAATCTTAAAAAAATTTCATTTAATCAAGCTGCATAAATGAGAAAATAAGAATAATTTCCATAAATTTTTATTCACTTTGGAAGGCACATATAAAATGCAAGATTTTTACTTCTTGGTGTACAAATCATATGATGTAAAAAATATTATTTTAATGTTGTCTCTGTCACTCCCTAACTTTAATATTTCTATATTTTACACATTATCAATAAATGTGGAATCTTTAACCTACAAATCAAAAAACAAAAGTGCTTATTTTCAATGTTGTAGATTAAAACCTAATGAAGATACTGTTATTTTCACTAGCGTTGCATAAAAGCAACTAGGAAAACACTTGCAATAATCTAAATTTAAAAAAGATACAAGTTTAAAGCTGTCATTAAAATTTATGAACTCTTGCCCAATACTGTACAAAAGGGAAACTACCCAACCATTAAGAAAAATCAAATACTTTAAAATATTTTAATACAATTTTTAACCCAAAGCAAATAAAATTATATATAACAATTACATTCAGTAAGGTAAAATTTCCCCTATATCTAAATTATGATGGGAAGAGCATGACCAATATTAATTATAAAAAGTTTTACATTCTTGTTATATTGTCCAGAAGAGAGATTTAAAACCTACATGTACCGATTTTTCAATTAAGAAGGAATTATGTGGAATGGCAAAGCAGGAAAAAGTCACCATCACTGAGCACTCCTACTTTGAAGACATGGGTTTGTACAGAAACCACATGTAAAATTAATCAACTATTTCATGTTTAGATAAACATCTTATATTGGGTATGGGGACTAGGGAATGATTACTAGTTTCAAATATACTATTCAGTGACTGGTTTTTCATACTTTGAAACTGCTGAACTTTTTAGATAATGTTACTGACAAAATTTCTGCTCAAATGCTTCACATATTTTCATCTACTTTCACATGTACTTAAACTACAATAATACACTGAAAAATATGGAAAATACTTTCTTTCAGCTAGAAATAAAGTATTTTAATTGCTATAAGCTTGAGAAACATTATCTCCCCTACCTCTCCTGTATTTGGGTTAGAGCAAAGAATTTTAGCATCTTTTCCACAGCTTAGCAACAATTCAGGATCAGCCATGCTCCAGGCAATTGCCAAAATTCCCCTAATAAAAAAAAAATGAAGAAATTTTTAATCTTCAGGAAAATCAAATACCCAAATTATTTCTAAATATGTTTCTTTAGAATATACACTACTAACAGAAGTTTCATTACATAACCTCTCTGGAAAATGATTTGGTAATGTGAATATACCTTTGATTATTGCACAGGCATTCAGTATAGTGTAAAGTGTATGATGATAGTAAAAATGAAAACAAATGTTCAATGATAGAAACTATATAATAATAAATTACAGATCATCTTATGATGGAAAAATCTGTAGTTAAAAAATTATATTGTAGAAAACTATTTCTTAGAATTAGTGGTCCCATTTAATGAAAAAGATAATTATGTATGCATGAATTTGTATAAAATATAAGATTACATTAAATATTTAAATGGAGTCCTATAACTACAAATAAATAAATAAGTGCACAATAAATGTACTTCCTTTGGATGGGTAAGAAACAACTACTTTACATTTTGATGTTTTGTTTACATTTTCTAGCTTTTATAATTGTAGAATTTTTCTGCTATACGCAGTTTCCCTAAGTTAAAGTAGAACTTAAAAATTTGTCTCACAAAGTACTACAAATCTAGCCACAACAATCTGATGTTATAGTTCTTTTGGTGTTTTAAAAACCTCCTGAGGACTTTAATACTAACTATAAAAAAAGTAATATTTTGAAATATTTTGAAAATATTTTGAAAATTCAGATTAGCTTAAAGAATAGCTCTCTGTATCCCACTCTAGGGAAAAACACTATTAATATTTTGTCATCTCTATGTTCATTCCTTTGTTGTTTAGAGGTGGAAGAAGAAAGTTAATAATACTACCAAGCAATGAAAGGAAATATTATAAACCAAAATAAAAACCTAGCTATTAGAAACCAGAACTATGTCTACATATTTCTTAAAATAAAAGCATACAGATTTATATCCCTCAACTCTCCTGGAAACATGTCTAATATGCATGTTTTTTAAACTTTTAAAATTTCCCAAAATAAAGTCTCATTTTCAATTTGTGTAAGTTAATGGTGTCTTTCTTTCGCTACAAAGTTATCTTCAATTTGATGATATTTCTCAGAAGTCAAGGAACTACAGTACAGGAGAAGGAACCAAACTGTATAATAAGAGTACCTGGTTTGTCCCAATGTTCTTTTTTAAAATGTTAAAATCTTTGTAAAAAAGTATTTTTTAGAGGACAGTATTATGTCCACTCTCATATTCCTCACTATTCACCTAGATTTACCAGTTTAGCCACATTTACTATGTCTCTCCCTTTTTTCTACATGCATATACATATACACACATATATATATATATTTGATCATTTAAGGGTTAATTGGCTTAGGTTCATCTCTGTGGATAAGAAAAGTCATCTATGTAACATTTCAATTACATAGTGAAGATATTTATTTACATATAATAACTTATATGTAGTAATTTTTAATATATAGTCTATATCAAAATTTCCCCAACCGCATCAATAACGTTCTATACAATTGCCTTCCCCCAGCATCCTTGGTGGCCTAGGGGTTAAGTCGTGGTTCAATCCCTGGACTAGAGGGCTAACCCACATATGATACAGCAGACCTCTCCTATCTTACCCACTGTGCCCCTTTGTAGTATATCTCAATAAATTCATTTGTTCTGCTCCCCATTCTGTCTATGGTGAATCCGCTTACCGCCCCCCCCACCCCACCAATACTTCCAGCCTGTATCCCAGTTCTATGCAGAAAAAAGAATTTATAATTTGCCTTTCCCTGTTAGATGTCAATCATGCAAGTCAAGAACTTCTTTCAAAAAATCCAGAACATTGAGGTTCTTATTAAGTATTAAAAAAAAGTCACAATTGTAGAGCTGGAAGGGACCTCAAGGTCATAAATGAAAAATTAGAGATTGCTCTCTAATGAAAATGAAAAATTAGAGAGATTGATTGCTCCTGTACCCACTATGATCCTGTTTTGCTAAATTATGATTACTCCTAAAACAGGGAGTAGAATGTAGTGTCAGTAGTGTACACCTGAGAACAGGATTTTTGGGTTAGAAGTCATCGCAATTATGTGATCCAAGGCAAGTTTAACCTTGCTTAGCTTTAATTTCTATTCTGCAAAACAGGATAACAATAGCATTACAACATCATGTTGTTGTAAGGATTAATCAAGCCAATATTTAAAGTGTTTATATACTCTACATGTTATATTAAGTGTTAGTTGTCCCACACTACAGTGTACGCTCCCTCAGCGCAGGGGCTTTTGTTATACTAGTGAATTGTAGTACAGTAAACAGAGCATACTGTGTATATAGTATATGTAGAGTACACTGTGCTCAGTAAACACAAGCTGCATGAATGAATAAAATTTTACCTAACATGAGAAAAATATCAAAACTCAGAATAATCCCTTCTTTATTAAAAAACCTAACTAAAGCATAATATCTAAAAGGAATTACATTTTGACAAGACTTTTTTCTCCTTTATTAGAAGATCAAGGAGAGGTCACAAACATTAGCACATCTAAGTGTGCAAATACAATTCATAAGGGGTAAAAGGGATTTAACGCTTTAGTGTACATATCCCAAAATAGGAGAGAAGAAAAAAGTCTGAAAATACTTTGAGAAAACTGTGACAGTATAAGGAATTCCCTTCTTTTTTAAAAATACTGAAGAAGGCCCTCCCTGGTGGCGCAGCAGGTTAAAGCACAGCACTGAGAATCTAAAGCCGCTTCCACATGAGTTCGATTCCCGCCTGCCCCGGAGGTGACCACATGGCGTGGCAGACCTCTCCTGACCCGCCCGCTGCTCCCCTCAG